GTAGCCCGCTTGTCTGCGGGAACCGACACCAGTATTATTTGCCCTGAGGTCGACACGCACGGCTCTAGGTCGCCCTTACTTCCACCACTACCTGAGTAATGGCTATTAGGCATGAAAGGATCGACTCGGAGCTCTGTTCTAACTTTATTAGCAAGCTGAGCTATATTTCAAGAGAGCTTCTTTAACCTTATTGCATGTGCAGGTGTGTTATATTAAAAACAGCAACTTCTGCTGTTGCGAGAATGGACAGGCTCATCCGAGAAAGTTGTAGAAGACGGGTGTGAAATGGAAATAAAATTATTCTTTTTTTATTTCGTCTGGTGACCGTTACGGTCCACTTTATTAAAGACTAGCTGTGCCTGCGACTTCGTCCGCGTGGAATTTAAAATAAAAAAAATTGTAAAATAAAAGTAACCTAAGTTACTCCTTATTACATCAGCTATCTGCCAGTGAAAGTCCCGTCCAAATAGGTCCAGCCGTTTCAGAGATTAGCCGGAACAAACAGACAGACAGACAAAAATTGTAAAAAATATTATTTTGGTATATGTACTGTGTATACAGCCACATGCATTTAGTAAAAAAGTGGTTATTTTAAGATTACAAACAGACACTCCAATTTTATTTATCTGTATAGATTGGTAACGCGTCTCTAACTACTTGTTGGTAACCATCTGTACCACGGACGGCGGTAATCATTTAACACCATGTGAACTGCATGTTAGCTTGTCAAAGTTTCACGAGAAAAAAGGTTTTTGTGTTACATAACTACACGGTCTCACAGAAGGGCAGCCTGAAGTAAAATTGTATATATTTTTTAAGTTTCTTACCATGAGTAAGTTAAACAGACACTTGTACGGGTTGGTTAAACACCTACGACTCCAGCGGTCAACGTTCTTCTTCATCAGTTGAAGCGCTTGATTGCATAAAGAGATGGTAAACTTTTTGAAATAAGATAAATTTTAGATAACTGCCAGACTCATCCTTGCTGTTCTCTTTTGAACAAAACACTCATTTATTACATCAACATAAATGACATTTTCTATCAAACCTTTTAAAGACGTCCTTTACATGAGATAAACAATACATAAGAGGCAAGTGATATACTAAGAGATAAAGCATTTTACTCACTTGCGTGACCCTCTATCGATTAAACGATACCAACAGCCATCCAGGAAGATCTTGCCCATTCCCAGAAAGAAAATCGAATTAAAAATATTATGGCATGAGATTTTGTTGTCTGTGGTAGGGTCACGCAACAGCTTCTGTTGTTGCAGGAATTGGCAGACTCGTCCGGGGATGTACAGACAGCCTAACAGAAAACCGTGTGAAGTGGTGGTACTTTCTCGTTTCGTCTGGGGAGTGAGTTAACCGGGGCACTCTTTTTAGCGTTGCGCATCCAAAGGGTAAAACGCGACTCTGTTACTAATACTCCACTCTCCGTCTGTCTCTCTGTCTTTCCGTCTGTCATGAGGCTGTATCTGATGAACCGTGATAGCAAGATACTAAAAATTTTCAGCTTATGTATTTTTGTTGCCGCTAAAACATCAAATACATAAGAAAACAGAATAAAAATATATCTAAGTGGGGCTCCCATACAGCACACATGATTTTCTTTGCCGTTTTTATTGATAACGGTACGGAACCCTTCGTGCGCGAGTCCGACTCGCACTTGTCTGGCTTTTTAAAGGTTGTCGATGCATATGCAAGGTACTGTAGATATCCATGGGTGGCGATATCCACTTAACATCAGGTGGACTGCCTACTCGCTTGACAACTTTTCATCACATAAAATAAAAAAAATTCAATAGAAACGTGCGTCGATGGTTTGACTGACGTAACTTTTGAGTGATAGGATTCAGCCATTTAGTTACGGGTTCGATTCCGGATTTGATGTTTGTCGGAGTAAAATTCATACTTGTAAAACGCCTCGTAATCATAGGATGTTGTTATCCTTCAGTAGTGTCTCTGTTTAATAGGAGTATAAAAATATATTTATAAAAAAGGTTAACGACAAACCTTATCAATTGGTCGCTGGTTACGAACTTGGATGCAAGTTTTGGTTACTACATGAATATGTTTGTGTGGAATTCATGATATGTAAGTATTAATTGTAGCTATATTTAAATTAAATGAAAATTACGCTTTTATAAGAGCTTTTTTTCAAATGGTAAAACTAATTCACCGTAACATGTTAGTCCGCTTGTACTATTAAAATTAAGAGGAATTCATTAAATATTTTAAACAAATTCAAATTTATTTAAATTAATTATAAATTAATTCTTTAAAGTTGTGAACATTAATTAAAGATAAGAAATCGTCGTACAAACATGCTCTAAGTTTTATTACATTCATATAAAGTGAGTTAAGTAGCTTACTTTTCAATTTACGCTTTGCTTTGACTAAAGCTAAAATCGTTTTGTAACTATATTATGTTGAGTCCTCATCAATGTTATATTTTAAAAACATATTTATAGTATGGGACACTGAAACTGAAATTAACTAAATTTGTTCGAAACGCAGCTTTAATCATTTTAATGATACCTTTTGATGTTTGCGTAGTTAATATTTTAAATTCGTAATTACATATTGTTATTATATTTTTTGAGCACCAAGACGGATGTACGTTTTAATTTGATTGTGGAATGAGTGCGTTTAATAAATATTTAAAAATGTATTTACGCAAAGGTATTCTTAATGGTTGAGGCAAAAAGATAAACCGTTCGCAACTAATTAAACGGGTCTGTTATCTTCGTCGAATAAATGTGCATTTTTCTTCTATTTGAAGCGTGTCCGATCTTATCGTATAAGTGCTTTATAGTGTTCAAATTATTGTTATTTGAGAAATAACTAGTTCATTGCTGGCTATAATTGTTCATAATGTTATGTTGTTTACTTTAGTAAATTTACAGAAATATTATATTTAATTTTATACTATAATTTTGGTTTCATCCTATACATAGATTGCTGTCGATGTCATTATGTACCTTAAAAGGTTAAACGAGGTCATTGATTATATTTAGGTGAATAAATAAATAATAATAAATAATACTTGTCATACTTTAAGCAAAATTTGCTAATGAAAAGAAATTATAAAATTTTAATACGTCAGAACAGGTAAAATAGTGTATATTATACTTAAGCTTTTTATGTCCTACTTATGTATTTATAATCTGGATTAAAAATTAAATAGTAATAGGAATCCAATGGAATGAAAAAAAAATTAAGATAATCTTGTTCAAAGAAAACAAAAAAGTGTTTTGTTTCAATGAAATTTGTATACTCCAAAAAATCATTCGGTCGATTGCATTCATTCGATTCATTCAATCGATTGCAATACAATATCGGCAAAGAAAGTTTTGCTTTGCACTTGAATGTTTTAGGAGACGTTCGTTAAGGAGTTCCAAAACATACAATTCTTTTTTCATTCGGTAAGAATTGAAATGAGGAATGTCGATGAAGATCATAAAGAAGATGACAGTGTATGAACTGATGTTGTATAGTATAGTGTATGAATGATCATAAAGAAGATGATAGTGTATGACAAGGTGTAACAAGTTCAAGCTGTAATAAGTTAAAGGTTTATTTATGTATCACGCTTGATTAGTTATGCAAACTAAGCAAGCTTGATACGTAAATAAACCTATATTATATATTAATTTTATGTTCAGAAAGGGTCGACGTGCTGAAGACGTTTGAGATTACTCCGAGAATGTTCGAAGAGATTTAATTTATAGGTTACTAGCGACCCGCCCCGGCTTCGTACGGGTGCAATGTGTTATACATATAAACCTTCCTCTTAAATCACTGTATCTAGTAAAAAAACCGCATCAAGATTCGTTTCGTAGTTTTAAAGATCTAAGCATACATAGGGATAGACAGACAGCGGGACGACTTTGTATAAGTATGTAGAGATGATGACTTTATAATTGAGAATAGTATTGTTGTCGTTTCTCTACAGACTATATAAATTTGCACAACATTATTTTCGGTGCATGGACATCAAGGAGACTTTAAATGTACACGGCGGCCTGAGTGTTCATCGAAACGGAAGTGTTCCCAGCGATTTTTAAAAGCGCCGACAAGGTCAGGACGTGTTTGTTAGTGAAAACAATACAGTGTCATCGTGATTCCGGGAACGTCGGGCAACATCTGCGGCCGTCTTTATCTCGGGACATCTACAGCTTGACGGGCGCGCTGCGTTTATACGTCCCGTGTTATGTTCTCTATTATTACTTGTCTCGGTTTCATTTCTTTTTTAATTGCTCCGACACCCTCGAGTACGCACTACGCAAAACATGTTGTCGTGGACAGCGAACGTGGAACAACACTACGGCTTGCGTGTCTCGTTCTAAGGTTAAGACTATTTATAAAGGAACGTTTGTTTGCGCTCGAATATTATACTCTACATTTTATGTAAATCTAGAAGAAAAAACTCATAAATGGCTAATCGTACGATCACGGAACTTAAAATCTGCTGAAAGCCAATTAAAAAGAGATTAGGCAACAAAAAAGTTCGATTCACGGTCAACACCAGAAGGTAAGGAGCCGTCAAATCATGCGTCACGGTGACGGCGCACTTTCCCCATCATTAGGAGTCGAAGAGAAAAAAGTCTTCGGATGTTCAGTTATAAGCGCCCGCCAACAAAGCCATTATGCCTTATTATGAACACCATCCATCAGATGGCCATATCGATCAGACAGTAATGCATGCTAATGTGTAATAAATAGATATATAATTTATATTGTCTCCACCTTGCCAGTGGATTGATGAATTGTTTCGTGATGGAGCGAAATGTTGATTTTTGACGTAGGCGTGGCTTCGGTCCCGGCGTTAACGAGGAAGCCGCGCTATTAATGATTTCACGCCGATGGTAAAAAGGTGTGAATCGGGTTTTTTCGTAACGCTCATTGTTCTCGCGGTCCATGAGCATGATCAGGCGATACAGTTATCAATTTGGCATGCGCACGATGCCGCGCCAGTGAGCAATGAACAGTAGTTACTTACTTTGGCCCAGATGCACTCGCTTCATCCAGGGGTAGATTTGCGGCGGGTTCGCTTGAGAATTGGACGCGGCTTTCGAATTCTTCGTGTTATTCGAGCTGGAGTTATTCGCTTCATTGCTTTCGTTGCTCGAAGTGCTTGACGCCGGACTGGAAATGTTCTGGTTCACATTGGCTTTATGCTCCACTGGCGACGCGATAGGCGTTGTCAGCCCGAGCTTGGTGCCAGTGGCGCCGGGGTTCGGACCGACAGCGAAGCCGGGCGACGTTCTGCCGGGTCCCGAGGAAGTGGAGAGATCCTGCGGTGACGCGACACCGGTGGTCGACGTGGAGTCGGCGAACTTACAGCTTGCGCTTGCCGCTTGGCTCGCCGGTGCCGTCATCAGGTTGGGCGAGAGCGCGCCTGGGCTCGGGTTCGAGTGCTGGTGCATGTGGCCCGGTGTGCCGCCGAGTCTCTGCGGGTGCAGCTGTGTGTAGTCGATCATCGTCTGCGGCTGCATGTGGGCACCGGCCGCGGGCGTTGCGTACGGATGCTGCGGGTAGTGGTGGCCCACTTGCGGCGGCGAGTAGCACGTGTTCGGGTATGTGGAGGCGGCCGCGTTTGGATTGTAGTAGTCGGCACCCGGTGTGGGTAGTCCAGGGTGGCCGCCTTGCTCCACTGGTGTTCCCGTGCGGCCCGGCGCCTGGTTCCCGTAGCAGGACGCCAGCGAGTTGACGAATTGGTAGGAGCTCATCCCTGCGTTGTAATTTAGGTCGTTCATCGATAACAGTTTCCCCTCGCCTGTTTCTGAATTCACTCGAAGGCTGTCATCTCTTAAGACGAGCGCTGAATAGTCTAGTTGGACATGTTAAGTGCTGCTGATGTCCGCGATCCGTTACAATTGTCCTCCCGTAGTGGTACTTGATTGATGGACCTGCGATAGAATGAGACACATTAGTTGGTCAAGCGTTGGACTCTGTTATACAAGACGAATGTTGTCGTTTGTAACGTTTCTTTCACTTAAAACAAGTTTTCTCCGGAACAAATTGTTCGTGTGAATACAGAAGACGTAATGGAATACAATAGCCCATATATGAGTTTCATATCGTGTTCGAGTATGCTGTTCCCTGTTAATTAACACGCTATAATTAGCGCCCGATTGCTATTTTAATTTAAAGGTGCACGGTGTGTGAACAACATGCACGCGAGCGGCGTATAGCTAGGAGCGTCGATCTTGTCTACATACATTTTAAAAGTCTGACGAGTAGCTACAAAAAGTGATTAAAAGTGTAATGATTTATGTTTTTATCGTTTATGTTTTCTTATTGATGACAATTTATATTAAAGATAAACAGAATTATACTATAAATTAACATATTTTCATTTTTCACAGAAGAAATCATGCAACGATATTTTAGACTTTTGAAATTTTATTTTAACAAGATATTAAAAAAAAATAATATCTAGCTAAATTGAAAATTTAGCAAGATCCTGAATTTAGCGGCTACCACAGACAAACATCTGAAGTGTTAAACTTTTGTTTTAGGCCCGAGCGGAATTACTTAAGTATTTACACGAAACAGCCACTCACAGTCACGGGGGTCTATTTCGAAACGATAAATTAATACAGCGACTTTCATGTCTAACGGCGCACACATGTCAAGTCAAGTGCGGAAAAAATCACATCGCAGCCACGTGGTAGGGCTATAAAAGTGTCCGCGGAGGTTTATGGTTGTAAGCGGTAGGCCGAATGTGACTGCGGCCGATTTATGGACGGTACCCAGTGCATACGTCTTTAGGAGCAAATTAGCAGTCATTGTGCATTCGATTTATTCGTCGCGTTTGATATATGTGCGAATTTTCGGCCAGCGCGCGTATTTCTGCCGCTCTGCGATACCGAGGTGGATTTAAGCGTTTTTAATCTGTTGTTTCTTAAAAATAATCCGTTTTACAAGTAATGACTTTGATAAGGGTACGTAATATGATGATTTTGTTCCGTTAGGAAAAGTGGATCATTGCGGTTGAGTGTTCAGAATCAATTCAATCTTATTTCAATCATATCCCCGGTGGAGATTAATATGTCGCAAAGGGTTGGGTTGTTTTCTAAAAACAAAGTGAATTTAAAGAATTAAAATTCATTCGTTACAAATTCATTTTATTCAAAATTTGTTTAAAAATAAGCATTTACTTTTTCACATACCATAATAGTACAATACGTTGAAACCAAAAAAATTAAAAGCAAAATTAGTTGGTACCCACTATTGAGTTCAAAAGAAAGCTTTTTTTAAACTTAAATTCTTAATGGCTACTTAAATGAAGCACACATATAATACAAATTTTTGGGTAAATTAAATAACTGTTCAACAAATTAAATAAATCTACATAATTTCATTTTGTGCAAATTTTGTTAGTACAAAAAAATCCTATTCAAAACTTTTTCCTAAATGTTTATCAGTAAAGGTTCCATGATCATTAATGTTCATAATACGAAATTTATTAGATGGTTAAATATATCTCTTATAGCAACAACATATCATCTCACATACATTTTTATCATTAGGCTTTAAAAAAGACATATTAATGGGTTTTTTAACGATAAATGTGCGTCGTTAAGACGATGGCAAGTTCTCGAAACTTTATGTACTTACAAAGTTTTCTCACGGACCAACACATCAGCAATTCGTTTCCTAACTCTAATCCCTCAGTACGCAGCATCTTCTGACGTAGAAGCAACATGTGTCGTATTTATTTCAGTTTAAAATTTTTGTCACTCCCGTCCGGTCCAAATTAAATGGGCCGGACCGATTTCATTGCTGTGTGTTGTTTTCTTTATTTTCTACCATCTTGAAGCGGATTCAAACCCGACATCCTTTGATGAGGCGTCGTAGTTTTAAATAGCCGCGTTAATTCTATAAGCTTTGGCATGTTTTATTGTACCGTGGTGTGGTAATACATCTTTGTGATAATTTTTGTTCGTAAACAAAAGTATATAAGTGTCTTTGGGAATATTGACACTTAAATTTGGTTTCATTGAATGAAAGTTCCATCCAGTATGACTTGAACTTGTAACGATTTAATAACTGGGAAGAAAAGTGGCTTGGATATTATTTTGAATCTCGCACCGACATAAATCTAACAAATACGATGAAAGCATACAACCGTCGCAATTAACATTCATTTTATTAGCCAATAACGTCAAGAACCCCTGAGTTATTATAAACCGCGTCGCATCAAGTGGACAGTTTAAATCCACAAAGTCCGCAGAGATTTACTGCGCTACGCTTTGATTTTATGTCTTCACGCCTTAGTTACACAAAGTGTATCAATTGCACAACATTTTCGAAAGGGAAAAAAGATTTATTTAAGATTAATATACTCACTTCTGCAAGGTTTAGATTGTACACTACGAGATCGATAGAAAAAACACAACCAAAAAAAGTCATATATACACTAACATACCACAAAAGTTTTTTTTTAAATAAATCTGGCACTTTTCACAAATGTTAAATTAAAAAAATTTCGCGTTCCGATATTCGAACGTTCGAATAAGATGCGCCCGGACGGACGGTCGGCCGAAAGTTGCGTGCTGTCGCGGCGGAAAACGGCTCGTGTTTTCCCGGCGTTCGGGCATCGAGTGCAGCGCGCGTCTGACTAGGTGAGCGGTTGGGCAGCGCGCCGAGCGGAGCGGGCGGGGCGGGCGCGGGGCGGGGCGCACCTGGCCCGCCATACCACGTGTGCGCGCCCGCCGCCGCTCCCGCTTCCGCGCCCGCTCGCCGCGATTAGCGTAATTAGGGTGCACCGTCGCAACACCACGTATCCGATTTCAATGGACCGATTGATGATTATCGATGGCGGCCTGCGCTCTTGTTTTACGCCCGCACGCGATTATGGCAATTGTTTGCCATCTTTCAGTTGAGTTCGGTGCGTTCATGGGTTTCTTTCGTTTCGTTTTTATTGTATTACAGTTACTATCATTCAAATAGACGGCAATTGTAAAGTTTTAGAGGACATACACTATATTACGTAGCTAAATATGAAATTTTACGATTAGTGTACCGCGTTTATTTGAGTGATCGAAGTCATAGTATATCATTAGTACTTACTACCAGTTTTTTTTTACAAATCGTTTGATGGTTTATATCATAGCGTTGGAAGGAAACACGCGAAGAACACGCCACCATGTACTGGAGCGCGGTATAAATTTTCGCCAAGATACTAGCCTCATTTACATTTATTGCACAACAATTGCACAAAAAGCGACCCAACACATACGTCAAGAGCGGAATTAAAATGATTCCTCATACGTGGTACTTAGTATAAGTCTCAAGAAGCGGACACTCGCCATGCATCAGTCGTGACGCGACATGACATCTTTGAGGAGTAAAAATTGCCGACCGCCATCCATAATAAATAGCTGGCACTAGCGTCTATTTTTATGCACCCCACAGTAATATTAAACGGTTGCATCGTACGGAATGTTCTGTCTAGATTTTATTTTAAAGCCAAAATTTGCTGCGCTTGCCAACATTCAAAGGTAAGAGAATACAACCATGGCACTGTACATCAACTAAGTATATCAACTATTTGATTGCTACTTACTTGTAGATAAATGAACAAAAGGTTTCTAAGCTTTATTTTAAATTATTAAAAAAAATACAATTTTAAGTTCCATCTTGAGTGAAAATCCTAAAATGCTCTACATAGGTACTTTATTATGAATACATTGCTCTAAAACGTAGTTGTTTCACTCTTTTTCTATATTTCATACAGAAAATTGGTGTAAAAATCAATTTCTTTATCTTATATTATTCAAAATTAAGTACATTTTATTAATATGCTAGGCTACGCTAATTAACGTCCGATTTTAGGCGTTTAGATAAAAACGAAATTAAGAGTTTGGATATCAAAGTGATAGGAAATAATGAGAGGATTTTATTATATTAACATAGATATTCACAAACTGTAATGAGTCAGTTATATGTGCTCGTTTTATCTATACTTCCGCTTCCAATTATTATACTATTTTTGTAAAACTATGATAATAATTTACTAACCAAACTAAGGAAATAACTTATACCACCTTATCTACAAACATGTAAGTCTTATTTTAAAGCTGTGTAGATTTCGCAAATATGATAAACCATACATAATACATAAATAACTCAGAGGCATCTTTTTAATTATAGATTTAAGTTATTATGAGATGATATCATCGAAAACTGCTTATGTATTTTGTACTGTATGAAATAGGTATTAATGTTTTGTTATATCATATATATTCACGCGCTCATTAAACTCTGATATATGGTACTTTCTTCATGTTCGTGTTCACATTCTATTTAACAATGGACATTTGTTTTAGGCGGTTTTGATTGTAATGAACTGCTAATTATACGATGTCCATTAATCGTAAATATTTATTATTAAGAAAATTCGTAAACGCGTTCAATTAATTACTTCGCACACGAAAGCCAGCTGAACATGTTAATTCACTTAACACATAATTATGACGCTTCAAACTGTATTTAAAACTGTACTACCGGTGAAAATATATTTAAAAAACTATTTTAAATATGAAATTGTATAAAAAACACACGGTCTGATATAGAAAATCAAGTCCTATGGGTCTGATGACATCGTGCTACAGTCGTTACAATATTTTGCAGTTATTATTTGTTTTTTTTAATGCATCTAAATCCAATTATTAGCCTATTAACTCCCACGAGTATTTAAATATGACATCAAATAAAGAATAGGGTTCTCACCTTAGCCCCCAGTGACCCTTTTCATCCCGTTGGTCATAAAATTTATTACTACTTAATAATCCTAACCTTACAGCACACACATGCTCAATAACTTAACTGGCAGCTCCACCGACTTCGAGAAGATTTACGACATAGGGTGGATATAGTTCACTTCGTTTGTACACAAGGTGACAAGGACTCTACATATGTGGTACAGGAGATCGTTAATGGCCGTTTAATTGGGCTTGGGACGAGGGTGATCTGTAATCGAAAAGCTTTGTTTCGAACCAGACTCGATTCCTATGGGATTTTTTACAACCGACTTCGAAAATGGGAGATTCTCAATGCGGTTGCAAGATTTTTTTATGTTTGTTACCTCAGAACTACGTAATTTATGAATTGATTAAAAAAAAACATTTTTGCATTGGGGCTTAGAGATAGACCAGGGACTCAAAATCAAATAGTAGTGAGAAATTTGAAGTCGGTTTTGTTATTTCTTAATCAAAATATGCTTGTTCACAACCAAAACAAAGTTTATAGAAATGCCATTTATGTAAGTTATTACAAGCTATAGCTTTATGCATGGTTACGTTTATTATGTGGATATTTCTCTCACGAAGGTAAGCTGGTTCTCCTAATGTTAAATTATTACAATGACCATCACCCATTGGTACTTGTGTGGTCACGCATGTCGTGAATCTATAAGAGAATAAGCCCGTGTTACCTCACCCAATAGACGACATACAAAAGATCAAATAAGGACAGTTTACGTTAGTCTACTTTGAGTTGATGGTAGTCCCCTGTATGAGTCAGTCCTTTCGTGCATCTTTGATGAACCAGCTTTTGATATTGTTTGACTCTATCATAGCTGTCATAGACTAAATGATCTTGTCGAAAGCTTCAAAAACAATGTAAAGGTAAAATTTCCATGGTTTAGTTTTGACGCTTGCAATACGACGATTGCTGTTAGACAACTTGTCAATGATGCTTACTGTTTAGGGCATCTCAGAAACTTCCTCAGATTTCTAAACACTTAGAAATGTATTCTTTATTTCATGTTGCCATGCCATATTCTGTTTGTTATATTTTCAGCCGGAGAAATGACTTTTTATTTATGTAATCATTTATATTGCTATTGAGCGTATAAAGGCAAAAAGAGGCGATGGACATGCTTAGCGTGAGTAGAGTTTTAAATTTTTGTTATGCTAAATGACAAAATAAAAATTACTGTAAGCTTTCGCCTTCTCAGTAAGCTTTCGAATAAAAATCAAGCAAATGTAGATTCGCCTTGTACATAGAAAAAGCAGCTTTGTTTTAGTATTATTTATCTAATATACTTAGTTTTTATTATTCTACTTGAAACCCAGCAAATTTATTATAACGACACACAAGTATCTTCTGTTCATTTTATTGGAGTTTCGGAGGTATTTGAACTTTTTGTTTCCCTTACAAATATTTATTTAGGAGTGAAGGTGTTGGGTAAATACCTAAATGAAAGAATAATTGTTTTAATCCGAGTAAAAAAAATCACATCTGAAATAATTTATATAAATTTTTCTGCGATTTCACCCAACCAATGCGAGCCGATTCGACATTCGCATCGGATAATAACACATAATTACTTAATTTACGGGGTAATTCGCGATTGAATAAAAAAAATTTGCATTCAACCTCCTCGGAGCGGGGCGCGCGGTCCTTCACGCACACCCCTAAATCCGGTACGAGTGAGTGGGACAGACAGCTCGCCGAGATGCGGCCGCGGCGCGAGCGTGCGTACTGCAGTGGCTATGGGCGAGGCGTGCTGCGTGTAGCCTCGTGACGCCATTGGCCGCCACAAGTTGGCCAAGTGGGGTGCGAACTTGTGCACGAAACTTTCCAGTTTCCGGCATTGAAAACTCGCGAGTTTCCCTCGAGTTTGTTCCGTGAAACTAGTTGCGGCGAGCGGAACAATCAACGATACAGTTCTCCGTATGAATGAAAGTTATTTACGAAACGTAATAAAATTGAACAGGATACGTAGTTCGAAAATATAAAAAAAATCGAATACTTCCTTACTATTAAGTAAAGTAATAATCATTCTAAAATTTCTTTTTATTTCGAAATATACTGTAGTGAACATTTTGTTTTACATTTTAAATGTTATAAGGTATCAAAACAAAATTATAAGAAAGCTCTTCTTGTCCCAATCAGGGAAGTAGATCTAATAACTCTTGCTGGTCAAACTTCGACACGCAATTTCTATCCAATTCTTCTTATTAGAGAACAATCAGATTTTCCCTTTCGTGAGGAACTTTATCCTTACAGCAAATCCGTTAGCAGAGGCCTACATTATACTAAAAAATAGTGACAAACTTTTTTGTTTCTCCTGGCTGATCATTTCGTTTCATCCACTATAGAACGCAAAGATAGATTGATAAAGAACTCAACTTTAAAAAATATGTAATAATTATTATATGTTATTGCTAAAAATATATATGTATTATATATTAAAATTATTGGTTTTAATTAACTTTAAACTTGGATGATTGAAAACGAACTAACATTATCTTTCTGTGGTAGAGCCACATAACAGTCTTCTCTGTTGTACAAATGGACAGGTCCGTCCGGGGAAGTGTTACGACCTCACAGAATACCGCCGTGAAGTAAAAGTGTTACCCATCTGCGTTTCGTATGGCGAGTGAGGTAATCGGGGCCCACTTTAATAAAGTGGCGCAACGCATCCGCATGTTGCAAACGTCCATGGTCGGTGGTTATCTGATGACATCAGGTAAACCAACAACTCGCGTGCCACCTTCTCACATAAAAAAATACTTTTTCTTGATTAACTGGTATTTATTGCTAGTTTGATCGGACCTCGTATTAGAGTAATAATATGCATGTATACCGTAAGTGTTTCTACTATTTTATAGCTCGTATATATATAATTCTCTGGTTTATCTTAACAAGGAAATCATAACGTATAACAGTGATTTTACCACAATCGTATACGAATTAAGTTTGAGGTTGAATTAACCATTCTTATACGATACTGTGTATCGATACGTGATATCTTATAATGTGTTGTCCGCGACTACGTCTGCGTAGAATAGGCTGAAGGCGTAACATTCAGACCGTAAGACTGATTTACATAAGAACATGTATATAAATTATAGCCTATGTCTCATTCTGATGTATAACCTATATTATTGTAAAGTTTCATTAAAATCCATTCAGTAGTATTTGCGTCAAAGAGTAACAAACATTGATCCATGGATACAAACTTTCGCCGTTATAATATTAGTAAGGATAAGGATATCACACAGTTATAACTGTGGTGAGGGCTAGGCAAGTACCACGACCTCACAGAACACCGGCGTGATGTAGAATAGTTATAATTCTGCGGTTCGTCTGGCGATTAACTGGGTCCCACTTTATTAAAAGATGGCAACGCACTTGTATGGGTGTTGCAGATGTCTACGGATATACTCTTAACATCAGGTGTACGGCCAGTTCGCTAGCCATTTTCTTACATAAAAAATGTTCATCGCCCTATCGTACTTATTGTTTTAATAAGAACTCGCGTGTGTAGCTAGTGAGGCTAAACTAATTTTCATTAATATACGAATAACTCCATACAACTATGTCTGATTCTATATAAATTAGTTGTTTAGTTGATCGAGCGGTCAAATTAATTTTTATACTAAAATAACTAAAGATTTATAATATTGTTAGGGATTATTTAAACTGATTAAAATATTACTAATAGACCTTTCAATCCAGTTGGATACAAAGCTTATAAGAAATTAATACAATTAATTAATGATTTCTATTTAATGTATAAATTTTTAAATCACTAACACTGATTGTTTGAAAATGTATATTTTATATATCATATGGAATACACGATTATTACTCTTCTTGAAATTTTTACGCAAAAGAATATTCAGACGAATAATTACTTTATTTATATTTCGTTTCTTGCATTTTATTATCCTAAATGTTAAAATTCTGTATAAAGTACTTGAATTTTGCATTTGGAATATTAATAATATTTCGTTGTCAATTTCAACTGCTAGATGGCGCTCAACTTGAGACGTATTTAAAAACATGAAACTTATGAATTTCAAGTACTAGCAAAATTTAGGTTATTCCCGTCAATGTTTGTATACTAAAGTCTTCAGTCAATATGTGTTGCCAGTGATGACCTACGGAACTGAGACTAGGTCCTTCACTGCTCAGCCCTGTAATCCCGGGCTCATAGAATAAGACTAAGATCTGGCTGTCGTAAAAGGCAATTAAAAGGGGACACGGATTGGCAGCAGCTCGAAGTGGCTGCCGGCTGCTGCAAGATGGTATGTCGGTAATTGGGGTAAGTTTACCTTTCTACGAGGCGTACTTACGCCCAGTACCGAAGGACACCAGTGCGTTCCAAAGGAGATCCCAAGATCCCTCCAAACGTACAGAAGGTGGCCAACGAGGGGCTTTAGAGGATAAGAACTCCACATAACTCTGTCATGTGAAATGACTGGGTACCTTTTGAAGATTTCCTCCCGATAATAAAAAAAAGGTCCTTCACTGCTGGCCGTATGAGCAAGCTCAAAGTCACTCAGTGAGCTATGGAGAGGGCTATGCTTGGTATTTTTCTGCATGATAGAGATCCTAATACAGACATTCGCAGTAGAACAAAATTAACCGACATAGCTCATTAGTAAGCTGAAATGGACGGAGTGACGACATGTGCAATTGTGCAGGAAGTGCTGGATGCAGGTGGCTTGGGATCGTGCTTCGTGGCAGTCAGTGGGGGAGTCCTATGATCACCAGTGGACTCACACAGACTGAAATGATGATCATGATAATGATGAGTTAAGTTAACGAATTGTGCTCGATGCAACGTATTGTTATTATTGTCCCACCTAGGCAACGTCCTCACAATATGTAAATCATATTTTGAATGGTATTGGATACATTTTTTTCGATCGGCTGCCTGCCTGACGTCAACCCTTCTGCACAAACACCCGGATCCGGAACAGTTATCTGTGGGTCACACAAATAATTGCCTCGTGTGGGAATCGAACCGGTGCCCGGAACTACTCCCGGTGCCGAAGTTAATAGCTTAGCAACTGCTCCACCGAGTCATCAATATATATTGATGTGTGTGTGTAGATGGTTTATACCTTTTTAATGTTTCCTTTAATTGGAAACGAATAAAAAAGATGGCAGTAAGAAATAACAATTATTTTGTCGCTAAGTATTAGTAAGTGAGCTATTTTTTACGAATTTTATCATGTGTCATTTGAAAACTTAAATTTTCAATGTGTCGACAACTTAACCGCATCCTTGATTTCAGGACAGACAGGTGCATCACCTCCTAGTGTCATAGTTAACTTAGCTAATGACAATTAATTGGTTAATTAATTGTTAAGGCTAAGGTTAATTAATTGTTTTGAGTTCGTTCAATATGAAATGAGCGTACGTAGATAAAGTTTGTGTGTTTGGATTTATAGTGTGGGCTCTCAAGCTGGTAATAACTTAACCATCATTAAATTAAACACGTTTCTTTGTTCAATACATTCTTTAATCCAACCAAATTTAGGAGCAACTGTTGTTTTCAAGGTGTATTGAATCTAACGCAATAGTTGAGGTGGATGTGTCACGAAATGCAGACTTCTACAACTTTTGGTGCTTCGTGTCATTTACATTGTTTTAATAGGCTTTTGTTTGCGAGTTATTGGAGAGAGATTTACTAGTAATGTTATACACTCCAGGATTTTTAGAGGATTTTTATCAATTAACAAATGGAAGGCCCGAAATATGTTTAAGATATTTATCAACCATGTCTCAGACTTGTTTAACACATTTAAAGTAATTTTATTTTAATGCCTCTGCACTCGTCACTGCACAAGTTTTCGTCTATTTGTGTACAAAAAATCGTTTAACATAAGGCCACGAATAAACTTACGGTCTAACGTAACTTCTTTCGTATGATTCTTTTGAAAATACAGACAGGTTCTATTGATGGTAAGCGAAGGCTGCCTCCTATCGATACTCACAAGATTAGTGTTAGGGTATAAATATTTTTACTTTCACTGGTATCTGAGGAATCCATGGTACTTGCCTAGTCGAATCTTTTATCGAGAGCCTTTCTGTAAGCTGCAGTCGATTCTGTGCCATATTTAAGTAAATGTCTAAAACGGCCAAGTGCGAGTCGGAGTGCCGTACCATCTATAAAAAACGGGAAAAAAATCCTGTCTGGTTTATGGGAGCCCCACTTAAATATTTTTTTATTCCTTCTTTTGTATTTGTTCTTATGGCGGCAACAGAAATATATCATCTGTGAGAGATTTCAACTGTCTAACTATTACGGTTCATGAGATACAACCTCGTGACAGAATGAGAGACGGACCAACCGACAGTGGAATCTTAGTAATAAGGTCCCGCTTTACCCTTTGGGTACGGAACCCTAAAAGTACCGTAAGAATTCATAAGTACATTCTTTCTACATTATAAAGTTATGCACGGTTGTCTTGGGCTGGCTGGAGATACATACATTGTGAGATTTCGAAAATAATCTCCAATTTTTTTGGTTTACTTAAGTTTAAAAAAATACGACCACAATAAACTCGATATACGGTGACTATTCAACATGGTTAATAAAAATAGACATCTTTGGTTCTATCTAACCAGTTTGGGCTCTAAGACTGACAGATATTGTTGCATTGTTCACGATGAGTGCTAGTTGGCGGCTAGAGCGCCTGGACTCGCAATCCAGTAGGCGTAGGTTCGACTCTTGGCAGTGGCGAAAAATTTTGTGAAAGTTTTAACTAGAAAATTTAAATTAATCCAAAT